CACACACACACACACACACACACACACACACACACACACACACACACACACACACACGTTACATTTCACTCACTAAATCAGAAGTCATATAACCCAGGATTACTGTGTCCTGACCTTCCTGCATATTTTACTGGGCCACAGCTGAGAAGGAGGTCAAGGGAAGGAGACAATAAGGAAATGATAGAAAGAGCCAGTGAGACAGACAGAAAATATTTTGTAAAAGGTTAAACGACACAGTAATAAGATGAAGAGGACAGAGCAAGARAGAGCTGGTGGATTAGGTTTCAGTGTGTTTTCATGTTCCATCCCCATTACCGTAATGTGTTGGGACCACTTAACTAATGCATAAAAGCATGAAATAAACACCATTACACAATGAATTAGTCAGAGAAGGCCACTGAAAAATGTAGACACTGCATTTTAACCTCAATAAAAAGTTGAAACACACACATATACACACATACACACAGAAAGATGACCAACTTTATTACTCTCCCCATTCCTCTTTGCCAACAGTGGTTTGAAACCTAATTACCACACCAGAGCCAAATTAAAAGCTTTTCCTCTCAATGGCCACAATCCATCTGCTGACAAATGAACAGTGCCACTTCCTGTGTGTTAATGCTCGCCTTCTCCCTCACTGCATTCATAGAACTTCATTCATTTGATCACTTCTTCTCTTCTATCAAAACTGAGGCTTTCACACTAGCAGCACATTATCTCACACTAATATCAGTCAGATTAAAAACYGAAATATGGAGAATGTTCAAAAGGCTCTGTGTAATCATTGCATAAATGTCTGTCCAGTTTAAAAAAAACAATTTTTTTCTAATACATATTTACTTATTTTGTCTGCTGTCACGAATGGTTGCTTATCTTTTTTTGATCAATATCATCTGCTGTCTGTTGCCTTTGTTCTGGATGCAAATGTGCAGCTGGATACAAATGTAAAATTATGCAGCTAAAGCAAAACAAAATAAACAAAGCTTAAAGCCTCCGATATTTTTTGATATCATATTTACTGTATATATTGATGTTTTACATATACTCTACACGTCTAAMCTGAATATGCTTCATATTTGAATATTATAGCATTTTCCAGTATCAATCAAAAAGTGCAATATTACTGTTTGTGTTTTGAGTAAACGCCCAAAATTTACTGTACAATATCATACAAAAACAATACAGTACACCTTCTCAAGTTGTAGATTTTAATTGTTTTTCAGCAATAGTTTGAGACATTTTCGTTTTAAGTTTAGCTCATTCTTAATTTTGGATTATCTTTGCACAAATACAGATTTTTTTCAGTCTGTGTATGTTCAGGTTTTTCCAACAATGATTTTGTACTTCATACAGATCATGGTTAGTTTTTAAAATGCTATATTTTCCTCAAAGTCCCATTTATTTCTTCCAAGCCAAGCTGAGTCTCCCCACCTACCCAA